AGAGAGAGAGAGAGAGTGAGAAACATGTCTATAAACACAATCAGCACTGAGCCTCTCAAAATGGATTTATAATTATTATCATAATTCTAATTCAGACATGCGTTGCGACAATTAATTGTCATAACTATAACATATAGTACTGTCCTCAAAGATGGACTCGGGGCCCATGCCTTTCGGACAAACGTAGAGGAAGAAATTTAAAAAAACAACAACCCAAACAATCAAACGATGAAGAACACAACCAAAGATGGAAAAAAGATTCTATATCATTGAAAAACATTCAGAAAAAAAACAGAGGCGGGTAAAATATTATGTTGTTATCGAAAAGCGATACACAAACAATATTGCATGTTTAATTTGGAGACTCTCAGTGGACGGAGTATCAGAAAAGATCAGAGGGGTGGGGGTCAAGGGAGTTGGCGGGGGGGGGAGTGAGGGCCAAGGGGTGAAGGGGCGGTTCATCGTTTCTCAACTTGCAAAAGGAAAAGCATTTTGTAGATCTCATAGCACTTTGAAGAATCCGAGTTGGGGTGGGGGTGGGGAGGGGGAGAAGGAGGGGATTGCATCGTTTCTCCGCTTGCAAAAGAAAAAGTATTTTGTAGATCTCATAGCACTTTGAAGAATACAAGTTGAGGGTATATATTGTTTCTCAATTTGCAAAAGGAAAAGCATTTGTGGATCTCTAAGCATTTCGAAGGATCCGAGTTGAGGGTGCATTGTTTCTCAGTTTGATAAAGGATAAGCCTATAATGTGTAGATCTCATCGCAATTTTAAGAATACGAGTTGGGGTGGGGGTGGGGAGAGGGGGACGGGGACGGGGTTGATTCGTTTGTCAACTTGCAAAAGAAAAAGCATTTTGTAGATCTCATAGCACTTTGAAGAATACGAGTTAGGAGTTTATTGCTTCTCGCTCAACTTACAAAAGAAAAAGCATTTAATTGTAGAACTCATCGCACTTCGAAGAATACGAGTCGGCCCCAAGTGTACATGGACACGTTCTAACGTGGCTCTGTAAGTAGAAGTTACATCTGTGTCATCGTTCTCTGGAACATTTATTCTTTCGGTCATCTTTCTTAAAGAGATTATATTTAGTACTAGAGTTCGTGGCAGTGATGTTCCCCCACACAAAGAGGTTCTATTTAGTACTAGAGTTCGTGGCAGGGATGTCCCCCACACAAAGAGATTATATTTAGCACTAGAGTTCGTGGCAGTGATGTTCCCCCACACAAAGAGGTTCTATTTAGTACTAGAGTTCGTGGCAGGGATGTCCCCCACACAAAGAGATTATATTTAGCACTAGAGTTCGTGGCAGTGATGTTCCCCCACACAAAGAGGTTCTATTTAGTACTAGAGTTCGTGGCAGGGATGTCCCCCACACAAAGAGGTTCTATTTAGGACTTAGAGTTCGTGGCAATGATGTCCCCCACGTAAACGAACGAGGGCTGTGTGTGCCCACTCTGGGACGCTGAACCTCAAGGCAAGACATGCGCAGTTCAGGGGG